TTTTTTGTCAGACTGGCAAAAAATATATTTTTTGGTGTGCCACAGAATTTTAGTAATTAGTTTATCTGTGATCACAGATACAGGAGAACAGAGAGTCAATTAAGGGAAATTTAACAACAGAAACAAAATCATTTCTGTGGCTTGAAAGAGTGGGAATAAAACAAGTCATCATTTAGCACTGACCATGTATTGGGTTCCATTCTCTGTGCTTTCCATGTTAAACTCATTAACCCCCTCTCCCCCAACAACTCTACAGGGGCATGGAACTATTACCCACCTTGTAGAAAACTGGAAACTGAGGCACAGGGAGGTTAAGTAAACCCCTGAGGCCACAAAGCCAGCAAGGGCAAACCTGGAGTTCCAATTCAGGTAGCTGGGCACCAGACTCCACACTTTTAAATCACTACTCTCCTTCTACATTCTCAAAAACAACAGAAATCGGGAAAACATCTGTAACAATTATGGCATACATGGAGTAAGTGTCTGTGACATAAAATAAGGAGTTCCTAGAAACTGGCAAACTCTTCAGGCCCCAGCAGATGTTTGGGCAAAAGGACAAGAACAGATGGCTGCCACGTGCGTTCCATGAAAACCCGGCCCTCTGGCCTCATCTCAAGGCTCCAAGGAGTAAATGAAGTGATGTTTATCACTGATGGGGGATGCGGGCAGGAGAATACTGATATGAAAACTGAGTGTAGTTAAGGCTTACCCAGATCAAACAATATTTCTGAATGTCTGAAAATGAGTTTTAAATATATGACAAATAGCAGTGAAGAAATAATTGAAAATATGAGTCTCTAATAAATCTTTAAAGGGGGGGATCCTTCTAATCCTTAACAAAAACTTCTAGTCTTCTGAAAAAGAAAAAAAAAATGTGTTCTTAAAATATTCTACCTGCAGATGGCTGTCATAATTTAGGATATCATGGCATGATATGGTGAAAGCAGCATTTTAAAAAATTACACTCCTTTCCTCCACAGGAAGAGCAGAAAGTCACCCGGGGGCAGGTATTTGGTCCTTGGGGACTCACTGGAGCACACCTGCTGTAGGTTATGGAAATGAGAGGCAAGGAGACAGGTGAGGAGGCTCAACAGAAACCTCTATTCCAAAGAGGCTGTTGTCCTTCCTGAAGTATTTGCTGTGGGTTATGTTGGAGTATGGTAGGGGGAAATGATGTGTATCAAGGGTCCAGGGATTTCTGGGAGAAACCCCTGTCCCAAAGTTACGGAAAACTATTGAGGGATGGAGTGGAATGGCCCTGGCTCAGGGCATGTGCACGAAACACCCCTTACTACAAAGAGGAAAGAAAGCTGGAGCTAATGCCTTGAGGCTACCCTATTGTCTCAACGGTGGTCCTGATACATCCAATCACTGTCACTGAAACCCTAAGTCCCCCAAGACCCGATTCAGCCCAGAATTGGGAAACAAGATTGTAAGAGGGAGCAAGAAGTCAAAACTCTAGGCTAAAGCCAATGGGGCCTCTACTGTAGCTGGCAGGGCCTGTCCCATCAAGGGCACCATCACAGTAGCAAACTAGAGTCCCTCAGCCTGCCCAGGACCCATGACCAGGCCACAATACCAGAAACTGCCAAGACAACCAGGCCCCTCCCCCAACCCCCCTCCAACACCTGGTACTTGAAAGTGGGACTAGCCCCATTTGGACTTTACAACACGACACCCAAGTTTCAGATCTCCTTTTTATCACCGAGCAACTCAACGGCTGTTCTTTCCTGCTCAAACCATGCTAATCAATTTTATTCTGTTTCAGGCAATACAACAACAACAAAAAAACAAAACCAAAACAAGAACATAAGCTTTAGTTCTGACCTATGGATTTTTTTTAAACATGCCTTTAAACAGAACAGTTCAAAAGAACTTAATTTTGTTACCTGTAACAGATCTTCACTGAGGACTTCTGTTTTCTCAGCTCTGTCGGAACAATTAAAAGTTCAGAGTTAGAGATCCAGAGATGAAAAGCAAGTCAGGACAATTAATTACCCCAGAATTTAAAACAAAACAGGCAGAAGTGAATGTAACAAGGTGAGAAATTCTATAAATTTTTACATCAGAGGGCAACTTAACTAAAACCAAAGAAAAACGAACAAAAGTTTACAGAGAATAACAACCCAAACTCACCTCAGGAGGAGCTTCTAACTCAGTAGTTTTGGAGCAAGATGCTTCCTTCTGTAACAAGCTCCACCCTGCCCAGAGTTCTATGGCAACCCAAATGAGAATACACTGCTCTAGAGAAACTTAAACTTCAATTCTTAAAATGATCAGTTCCGAGTTTCACAGCCTGAAATGAGTTTGTCACAAATCTAGAAGCAGTATTCAATGATACACAATAGTAACAATCAGTGCTCCTTCCTTTAGATTTCTCCTTATCTTTACTTTAGAAAGTTATTTTCACAACTTGCTCTCATCTATGCTTTAGAACTACTGTTAGTACCATGGACCTTGCAAAAAGCAACATGGCAGCCACAGCCAGCAAAGGTGTTGCTGGTGCCCAGGCTGCCAACCACAATCACTTTGTAAGAAGACTTATCTCTGGCAGTTCAAAAGGACAGCATGTTGCTACTATATATATAATGCCCAGAATTACTACAATCTAAGTTGCATTTGGACTTTTGACCCTAATAGTGATTTAAGCCAATAGTGTCATTTAACAACCCTATCAAATTCCCATAGAAATAAGCAAGGATATTTCTGAGAGGAAAGGAAAAGTCTGTTGTGGCCCTCAACAATGGGGGCTGGGGGAAGAAGGAAACATCATCTAGGAATAAGAAATTTGAACCCTTTTTATAAGATGTATTGCATAAAGGAAGGCTGTAGATCTTGCTCATGAACTAGTACAAGAGAAGGAAAAGCCATTAGACCAGTAAGTGAACGCAACCCCTAAAAACGCAACCCCTGACCTCTAAACACTGCTAAGCTCAGATCAGCACCAGCTATAAGCAGGATGGTAGTGCATCTCCAGGCCACATTGGGTGCCAGAATGTCAAGTAAAACTGGGCATTGCCACAGAGGACTCCAATACCAGTTGTCACAGCAGTGCCCCAGTTAACTTGGATGCCGATGGGAGTGGCTCACTTACCGGTTTCTGTATGAAACCAGAACTCTGATCTGACTCAACTATCTCCCAGGTTGAGAAAAGAGCCTCCAGACCAAGTCAGGCTCTTCTCCCCAGCTTCAGAGCTAGGCCCCAGCTTCCGAGGAAGCTCTCTAAATAGGTCCTGAAAACAGCAGGCCAAAATATCCAGTCCAGGGCTCACTTGGCACACAGGGGCCAGGCATTGCTGAAGTGCCAAATATAGGTAGTCATGGCAGTTAGGGAAGTGGAGCAGGGCTCCAGCTGACTGTGAGCTCAAGCAACTGGCATCAAAAAGAACCCTGACAGTCAACCTAACAAGGGCTGACCTGGCACGAGACTGCCCTAGCTTCCTGATGTCTGCTCACTCCCCAGTAGCCTGGCCCCGCCCCTAGCAAAACACCTCCATGGACTGTGGAACTTTCACTCTGTCTTCTATGGCCAGAGATCTGAACAGGGCCCTACATACCTTGACAGAACCCTTCCTTCTGTGAGTATAAGGATACACACAGGAAAGTTCCAATTCCTATTAATATAGTTGACCCTTTAACAATGCAGGGGTTAGGAGCAGCAAATCCCCACATGGTCAAAAATCCACATATAACTTTTCGCTCTCCCAAAACTTAACTATGAATAGCCTACTGTTGATCTTACCAATAACATAAACAGTCCATTAACACATACTTTGTATGTAATATGTATTATATGCTATATTCTTACAATATAAAGGAAATATTATTAAGAAAATCATAAAGAAAATACATTATACAGTATTTATTGAAAAAAAAAAAACAACCCTGTGTAAGTGGACCCATGCAGTTCAAACCCATGTTGTTCCAGGGTGAACTGTATTCATAAGTTCAAACAAAGAGATTCAGAGAAAATATGTCCTCTTATGAAATGAAATTATTTTAAAACTGTAACAGAAGAGGAGGCAAACTTGTGTTAAAATCCCAGGGTAGGCTATTAACAGGTGAGAGTGAGTGATTGTTTAGTGGTGTGCTGGGGCTAGCCCAGGAGAGCCACTGGTGTGCATCTTCTCTTAGTGCCTTGTTCAAGGACTTCACACTGGTAATTTAAAATAAAAAATAAAATACGATACAAACAAGTGCAAACAATACAAATCAGGCCTTTGAGGGTGTGGGAGGGGATTCAGAGGCTAAAACATCTGTGAGCATAGCCCTGCCACAGTCACACACACAAAACAGCAAAGCAAGTGTTACCTTGAGGAAGAAACAAAAAGTCCATTGGAAAGATAATCATAGTACACTATGATGTGCACCTTGAAATAATTGATTGCATATGATAATATAATGCAAATATCAAATAGTAATATATCCAAAAATTGTAATATAACTGTATTGGGCAGGATAAGGGAGCAGAAGCAGAGAAAAAGGTTACACAAGAGCCTTAACCCTTATGTATCATAAGAGGTCAATAAATGATACCTAAACTTAATAACTCAAAGGGTAGCAATTTATACATATTTACAAATATGAATTTGAGTAGAAGCCAGAATAAACAGCTAAAATTTGAAAGGAGCTGCCTCTTTGGTTGGAGAGATCTTACCTGGGAGAGTGGGGTGTGTGAGGAAGAGAACCCACCCTACTTTGTGATAAGCCTTTAATGATTATTTGATTTTTTTAAACTATATGAATATACAGTTTCAAATTTTAAAAAACATTATGTTAGTTTCATTTTCAAGTAGCATGCTTGATGACTGTAAGTGATCCATAACTTCAAGGGAAGCATAACTCCAACTCTAAAGCACTGTGTCCAACTGTCAACCTACACAAAATACAGCAGAGCACATACCGCAGAGTATCCAAACACAAGGCAAATCAAAATATTTATTTCCTATTTAAAAATTAACAATTGGACCCTTTGCTTTAAATTTAGAGGCCTTTTGTGTTTGCTTCAGCAGCAAATATACTAAAATTGGAACGATAGAGAGAAGATTAGAATGGCCCCTGTGACAGAATGACATGCAAATTCATAAAGTGTTCTATATTTTCACAACTCCCAACACACAAAAGCCCTGGACTGGATGGTTTCACAGGAAAATTCTACAAAGCATTTAAAGAAAGGCTAACCCCTATCCTTCACAGACTATTCCAAAAAATCCAAGAAGATGGAAGACTCCCAAACTCTTTTTGTGAAGCCAGCATCATCCTAATCCCAAAACCAGATAAAGACACAACAAAGAAAGAAAACTTCAGGCCAGCATCACTGATGAACATAGATACTAAAATCCTCCACAAAATATTGGCAAACCATATCCAACAATACATTAAAAAGATCATACACCATGATCAAGTGGGATTCATCCCAGGGATGCAAGGATGGTACAATATTTGCAAATCAATAAACATAATATATCACATAAACAAAAGCAAAGACAAAAAAATCACATGATCATAGCAATAGATGCAGAAAAAGCATTTGATAAGGTACAGCACCCATTTATGATAAAAACACTCAGCAAAGTGGGAATACAGGGAGCATTCCTCAGTCTAATAAAGGCCACATATGAGAGACCTACAGCCAACATCATACTCAATGGGCAAAAACTAAAAACTTTCCCACTAAGATCAGGAACAAGACAAGGTTGTCCACTTTCACCACACCTATTCAACATAGTATTGGAAGTCCTAGCCACAACAATCAGACATGAAAAACAAATAAAATGCATCCAAATGGAAAGGAGGAAGCAAAACTGTCATTGTTTGCACATGACATGGTAGTATACACAGAAAATCCCATGGACTACACCAAAAAACTACTCAACCTAATAAGTGAATTTGGAAAACCGGCAGGATACAAAGTCAATATGCAGAAATCAGATGCATTTCTGTATACCAACAATGAAATACTAGAAACAGAAACCAGGAAAAAAAATCCTATTTGATATAGCAACAACAAAAATAAAGACCCTAGAAATAAACCTAACCAAGGAGGTGAAAGACTCAGAAAACTACACAACACTGAAGAAAGAAATTAAGGAAGACACAAACAAATGGAAGCATATACCATGTTCATGGATTGGAAAAATTAACAAAATCAAAATGTTCACACTACCCAAAGCAATTTATAGATTCAACACAGTCCCTAATAAAGTACCAATGACATATTTCACAGATACAGAATAAACATTTCAAAAATGTACATGAAACCATAAATGACCCCAAACAGCTGCAGCAATTTTGAGAAAGAAGAACAAAGTAGGAGGGATCACAACACCTCATATCAAACTGTATTACAAGGCCATGGTAATCAAAACTGCCTGGTACTGGCATAAGAACAGACACATAGACCAATGGAATAGAACAGAGTCCAGAAATAAACCCAAGTCTCTACAGTCAATTGATACTTGACAAAGGGGGCAGAAGCATAAAATGGAGTAAAAATATCCTCTTCAACAAATGGTGTTGGGAGAGCTGGACAGCTACATGCAGAAAAATGAAATTCAGTCACCAACTTACACCATACACAAAAAATAAATTCAAGGTGGATAAAAGACTTAAATATAAGCCATGACACTATAAAAGTCCTAGAGGAAAACATAGGCAGGAAAATCTCAGACATTCCATGCAGCAACATTTTCACCAATATGTCCCCTAGAGCAAGGGACATAAAGGAAAGAATAAACAAATGAAATATCATCAAATTAAAAAGGTTCTTCATGACTAAAGAAAACAGCATTAAAATGGAAAGAGGACCAATTATATGGGAAAACATATTTGCCAATGATACCTTGGACAAGGGTTTGATCTCCAAAATATATAAAGAACTCACATGATTCCACTCCAGGAAAACAAACAACCCAATAAAAAAATGGGCAAAAGACTTGAACAGACACTTCTCTAAGAAGGACATACAGAGGACCCAGAGACACATGAAAAGATGCTCAGCTTCACTAGCCATCAGGGAGATGCAAATTAAAAACACAGTGAGAAACCACTCACACCGGTGAAAATGGCCATTATAAACAAATCAACAAACAAGTGGAGAGGATGTGGGGGAAAAGGGAACCCTAGTGCACTACTGGTGGGAATATGGACTGGTGCAACCACTGTGGAAGACAGTATGGAATTTCCTCAGAAAACTAAAAATGTAACTAACTGCCTTTTGACCCAGCAATTTGACTGCTGGGATTGTATCCTAAGAACCCTGAAACACCAATCTGAAGGACCTATGCACCCCAGTGTTCATAGCAACACAAAAATTTACAACAGCCAAGTGCTGAAAGCAACCCAAGTGCCCATCGGTCAATGAATGGATAAAAAAAACTATGGCACATTTACAGGATGGAATACTATGCTGCAGAAAGAAGAAGCTCCTACCCTTTGCAACAGGATGGGTGGAACTGAAGAGCATTTATGCTAAGTGCAATAAGCCAGGTGGTGCAGGACAAATACCATAGGATCTCACCTTTAAGTAAGACCTAATCAACAAAACAAGCAAGCAAGCAAAATATAACCAGAGAAACTGAAATTAAGAACAACCTGATAGTAACCAGAGGGGAGGTGGGAGGGGATAATGGGGGGGAAGAGGAGAAGGGTTTTCAGGAACAACTACAAAGGGCACATGGATAAAACCAAGGCGGTGGGGTGGGGGCTAAATGCAGACAACTGTACTTGAACAACAATAAAATAATTTTTAAAAAAATTTAGAGGCCTTTTGCCTGAAAAGGTATCTGGAAGCTGAAAAATATGTGAAATATTTGAAAATGTGAACATACTGTTCATATATAACTTTAAAGTAGGTTTCCTGACTTTGTGGACACTCCGTATAGTACACTGATAAAATTAATTTTAGAAAGACATCCAATGCATCTTCTGAACCAGATTTTAGTGTTTACTGAAATTATTTAAAATGACCTATAATCAAGAAAGGTTACTTTTTCTCCCAGCCTTACAGAAGTATAATTGACAAATAAAACTATCTATTTAAAGTATACAATGTGATGATTTCCTTTACATTGGAAATGATTACAACTGGATTAATGAACTCATCCATCACCTCCCAGAGTCACCCTTTTTGTTAGTTGTTGTAAAAATGCTTAATATCTACTCTTTCCATAAATTTCCAGGATATAACACAGAGTTATTAAATGCAGTCACCAGGCTGCACTTTCGATCCCAGAACTTATTCATCTTCTAACTGAGGCCTGAATCCTTCGACCAACATTCTCCCATTTCCCCCACTCCCCTGCCCCTGGCAACTATCACTCTACTGTTTCTATGAGTTCAATTTTTTTTTTAGAATCCACATATAAGTGAGACCATACAGTTTTTGTCTGTGTCCGGCATATTTCACTTAATATAATGTCCTCCAAGTTCATCCATCTTGTTGCCAATGGCAGTATTTCCTTCTTTCTTAAGGCTGAGTAATACTCTAATATGTGTTTGTTTTACCTCTTTGTCCATTCATACCACGGTAGATCACTTTCATATCTTGGCTATACTGTGAAAGCTGCTGCAATAAACACAGGAGTACAGATCTCTTTGATGTACTGATTTTATTTCCTTTGAGTATATACCCAGAACTGGGACTGCTGGATCATAAGGCAGTTCTACTTTTAATTTCTTCAGGAACCTCCATACTATTTTCCATAATGGTTGTACCAATTTACACCAACAGTGTAAAAAGGTTCTAATTTCTCCATATTCTCATCAACATTTGTTATCTCTTGCCTTTTTGATAACAGACATCCTAAACAGGTGTGAGGTGAAATCTCATTCTGGTTTTTCATTTACCTGTTAGTCATCTGTATATCTTCTTTAGAAAAATGTCTACAAGTCATGTCCCGTAAGATTATAATGAAGCTGAAAAATTCCCATTGCCTAGTGATGCTATACTATCATGATGCTGTGGCCTTCATGCAGTGGCATGAAGACTGCAAAACTCAACAAGGCTGTGGTCGAGATGGCAAACAGCTGAAACCTGTGTGTGGATGTGGGTGACACAGGAGAGCGAGCTCCCAGAGTTGCTTCGTGAGGAACTGACCAATGAGGAGTTGTCAGACTGAACAGGAACACAGGTGAAGAAGAGGCAAGAGAAAAGGAAGTGGTTGAAGAAAAGGAATTCCCAAGAAAATTCATAGTGAAGTGTTTAGCAGAAGCTTTTGCAGACCTCAACAAGCTCCTTAAAATGTTTTAAAAACACAGATCCCAACACTGAAAGGTTTTTATTAACCAAGAGGAATGTCCATGGTACATTACCTTCTAACAAGCAAATGTATGCTGGAAACAAAAGCAACAAACCAAGCAAACCACAATGGACCTATTTCTGAAAAGAGTGACACCTCCTGACAAAGAGCCTCAGGCAGGTCCTTCCGGAGGTGTTCCAGAAGAGGGTGTTGTTATCATAGGAGAAGGCAGCTCCATACATCTTATTACCACTGAAGAGCCTCCAATGGGCAAGATGTGGTGGTGGAACACAGTGATATTGGTGATTCCGACCCTATAAAGGCCTAAGCTAATGTGTTTGTGTCTTAGCTTTTAACAAAAAAGTTTAAAAAATAAAAAAAAATCTTAAAGAGAAAAACGCTGATTAATAAACTGTTTCAGAACGTTAAGCTTCTCCCCAAAAGCAGAAAATAGCTTCTAGAATAAGGATATAAAGAAGTGACCCAGTCCTGCAAATGCCATTGGTGGTAAGTGCCCTATACAAGTGTACCATATTTTATCTTTCATACTGCATTTTTACCATACCTTTCCTCTGTGTAGATATTTTCAAACACACAAATACTTACTATTGTGTTACAATTCCCTACAGTATTTGCACAGCACGATGCTGAACAGATTTGTAGCCTAGGAGCAATAGGCTGCACCATACAAACTAGGTGTGCAGTAGGCTATACCATCTAACTTTATCTAAGTGTACTCCATGATGTTTGCATGATGAAAAATTCTGCCGTTTAGCAACGCATGACCATACTTAGGTCCTTTGCCCATTTTTCAGTCAGGTTACTTGGGTTGTTTTCTTTGTTTGTTTGCTTGCTATTGCTTTG